TAAAAGAAAAGAGTCAAGAAGATTAAGAGATATAATAGGCTGGGCTGGACCGGTCAAGGTCATGAAAGGAAAAACAGAAAGGACAAAAAAAAGGGGAAAAATGAAAAACCAACAAAAAAAAAAACAGGAAAAGAAAAGAAAAGCATGGCATGGGGGCGGCCATGCGTGAGGGAGGTTGTTTCATCTTTCTGGGGCGGCTTGCATCTTTGGCTTTGGCAGGGGTTCTGGGCGGGCAGGCAGGCGGGCGTTGGTGGTGGCCGTGATGATTGACCCCGAGATTGACCTCCTCTGGGTTCATTATTTGGCTTGCTTGGTTGGTTGGTTGGGTATGGCTGGCGTTCTTGTGAGTGTGACCTGATGACGGCCCCAGGGCTGACTGAGTGTGTGTGACTCCGTGACATGGGCGGTTGCTAACGGACTTCAGGACTGCATTTCATTTTGATACCCGAACGGTACGGAGGTGGCCTCCTGGAATTGAGAAAACGGTGCTGCCTCGGGGGTGTTGCACGTTGGGGTTCCTCGCATTTGGACCTTTGGGAGAGTCGGCCGTCTTCAAAGTTCCCACTCATCGACAGACTTTGAAGGATGACACTTCCAACCGCCTCCTTGGATTCCAGCACTGAACGTCACCAAACTTGAAACCCCAAGCACCCCTTGGCAGCATCGGAATAATACAGAGTGGTGGGGATTCTTTCAAAAGATTCGAGGTGGTGTAAGGGCTGTGGGTCTCGGGCCACAGATGACCACCTGAAAAGAGGGGGATAGGATGGGTAGATAGCTAGTAGATAGTTCAAATTCATGATCTTCATGATTCATATTGTTGTCCCGATTCTTGTGCCGTGATTGTGACTTGATGTAATTAATGAAATTGTGATTCGCAACTGTGTTTTCAAGGAAACGGGAGATGCCCACTCAAGGCGTTCCATTCACATCCCATGGATAAAAGGAAAAATACAATAAGACCAATACTAAACGGAACAAAAATAAACAAGAAAAGGGAAGTAGGGCAAAGCAAAATGAAACAACACTAATTAGAAGAGAAACGTAGGAAGCACAAAACTAAACTGACTAAACTGAAAAAAGAAAACAAGACAAACCAAAACCAAACAAAACTCAAAGATAAAAACGGTGCAATCCTAGACTAATTTCTTCACATATCCATGTAAGGTAATCACTAGAAGATATTTCAAATAAGGCCCAAACCACGGGTGTTCGTTTTTGTCACAGTATACCATCGCCACATTCATCATAGTGCGCTGTAAATCGTTGATTTCCACTTGAATGGTCACAAATGGGCCACCGTCACGGCGTCAGTGACACCCTGGGTGTGTATATTTGACGCAGGTGACCTTTCATGGCGCTTCAGCGGCCTTTCTGGCCAAAAACTTGGCCTCGGTCTCTTTCGGGCCACAACGATCTTCTGAACTCCATGCCTCAGATAAAGAAGATAAAGACTGTGTTTCCTCAGGCATGCTTTGAGGCCATTTCCAGGCCTGAGGATGTCCACAGAGAGGGCGAGCCAATTACTGTACTTTGGGTTGGTGAAAGGTAGCTCAGGCGCTTAAACAAGTGATTAATATCACACGTTTGTCACAGCATGCCTTATTTGTTGAGAACCGCGCCGCGATCTTCAGGAATCAAGCTAGCTCTGGATCTCACCGGAACTTCCGCCATGTCCGATTGCATCATTTCTTTCTAAATTGGCTAAATTCAACGTTTGCTCGTTCTCGTGTTTAGAAAGCAAGATAATCCTGAGACTTTTGTGGCGGGCTGGAGTTGTTTTTAATACAACACCCCATGGAAGAGATGTGTAATGCAACTACGAATGCCTCTATGAGATTATTGTTCTTATTTGCCAAGATATCTGCCAGAGTTACCTTGCGAGGTATACTAACCCTTCCAAAGAAGAAAAAATATCGGATCTAGAACTGATTATTCCACACCTGTTTCTAATATTTGCCTCCGGTTTCATGCCATGATCACTATCTTCTAGGGTTCTTCGTATGCAAATCTGGCGGTTACTAGAAGATTTATCAATCTACTGGACGGAGCACGCGAATCGAGAGCAATCCGATGAACTCTGGCCGAGGATGGACCGGAAACGGGATGTGAGGACCATGATTATCGTCTCCTGTTGAATTCCGAGTGTTCCGTACAACCCCTGAAACTACATAGTGCTGGCCTACACCAAGCCTAAAGAAGATAATATGCCAACGAAGGTGGATATCTACGTTGTATCATTTAGGTAGATGATTAGTTATTAATTAGTATTCAAGATCACCTATCAATGTAGTATTCATCATCAAAAATGACTGTGAGAGCGTGTTAGCTAGGCTCAATTGAACATTAAACTTTGTATCTCGTTCGAAAACCGGCCTAGCTGTGAGCAATCTGAAGAGTTATCGTAGTTCTGAAACTGCAGCGATGCCAAAAGGCAACCAAAATATACGTAATCAATCACACAATTACACAACTAGCAACTGCCGAGCTTCCTCTCTTTGAGGGTGAATTGTTTCTCCCGAAACCCCCAACTTCGTCACAAACAAGGGGTTGCGAATCATTGAATAATCCTACCGACTAAAACCTCAAAACAGACAAAAAAGGATTCATAAAACGGATCCTCCGGAGCAAATGCACCTCGCATCCTCAACCCCCACCACAATCCATCCCAACCCCAAATCCCTCCTTTCAGAAGTCCTGAAGCAAGCAAGCGCTCAACCCCTCGTATCCTTCAGCCTTCCCCCCTCCCCGGTAGAAAAGCACCGCGCAGGGCACACCGAATCACCTCCCTCCCTGAGTAATCCTCACAACTCGCTACCGGGTGTTTAACGCCCCCTCCTCCCTTTCCCTTTCCTTTTGTAGAGAGAGGTACGTACATTACAACCCCGGCATTTCGAGCCGCTTATCCCCTCCCCCCTCCCCCAGTCGGGGCCAGCGCCGAGAAAACGCCCGGTGGGGGCCAAAGAAAACCTGAAAAAACGTGGGTCGGCCCAGCTGACTGTAGGGCTGACTCGCAGCAGTCTCGCAGCGGCAGCGAGTTTTCTGCCTGTCACAGCCTGTGTGTTTGACCGACTTTTGTTACCTACCTGGTAGATACCGAGTTAAGCCGGGGCTTGTCATCGGTGAGTGCGCATGTGCGTGAGTGACTGAGTGTAAGCGTGTGTGTGTGGGTTAGGCTGCGGACTGCGGTGGTTGGCTGTGTTCGGGAATGCCGTGATCGGATTCTGATTCTTATCATCGCTATGGGCGACAAGGGAAAAAACAAGAACTCCAAGTGGGTTGTTGCCGTTTGCGACATGTTCTGTCATTTTGTGGAGCTTTCTGCATGTCACGTTGTTCGCACGTGTGATGACAGGGACTGGGAGAGAGAGGGATGGGACTGTGAGCGTGTGAGGCTTGGGTAAGTTTAGATTTGAAACTTGGAACCGCATTTAGCTTTGTTGACAGAGCTGAATGGACCAGTGACAGAGCTGGACCGAACTGCTGGGGCCATGAGACAGGCTGATGAATCCATGGGAAACAAGGGTTAGATGTGATATCGAGAATTGTGACAAGGGGTAATGTGATGTTCCTTTTGCACTGGGTTCGTATGGAATTTTAGCAACGGATCAGATGGAATTTGTCTCGGAAAACCGAGATGCGGACATAGCAGAATAAAACTTACGAAGGTCATGAATATCAGGCAAACGTGGTGAGAGCTGGGGGCCTCGCGACTCGCAGCTCGGTTGAACCCGGAGATACATGTGATTTACAGGCCGTTAAGACCGGTTCTAACTTTCGCAAGTAGAAGTGTAATGTGATCGCCAATCCAATCCGCACGTCAACCCGACGGTCCGTCGGCCACTCCTAGTCCTTGCCGAACCCATCAGGCGGAACTCCGCGGCTCAGCCTCCTAAAATCCGATCTCTCGATCCGGCTTGCACCGCGCAGCGCACGCCCTTTCTCTTTCCATACCGAGTTGGGAACAAGAAGTTGGAACTGCTGACTTCCAGTGCCGATGCAGCCGAGCTCCGTTCGTGAAACTCTCCTTTCCCCCCTCCTCCCTCACCAATGGCCAAAAGGAAGCTGAGTTTCGATCTCGGTTAGTTGACTACTGGGTTTGTTATTGGTCGTCTTACCGAAGCGCGCCCTTATGCCTGTCTGATGACGAACACACTCAACACAGTGATCAGTTTTCAACGCGTGCCTGACCAGCGTGGGAAACTATTAATAAAACCTTCGGCAGTAAGAGGATCGTAAATTCGAGGTGACTGTAACGTTAGCCCGGGAAGGATCGGCTGTTTCTCAACGATTACAGCAATACACGCACGTGTATTGTAGTGTAGCAGTGTTGGAACGTCTCACACTGGTCCTAAGAGTCATGCGAACCTTGTTCCAACAGGGGCGCCTGGCGGAAGATTCTTGGAGCCCCGACTCACCGAGAAGAGAGGAGATCGGCATTCGGATTTCGGTTACGACCGTGAGGCTCCCTTCGCTGATACCTCTGTGTGTCTGAACCGCCTCGAATCGTCACCAATTAATTAATTATACCGGGCGGGTCCGAGCCCATTACCCTGGTACTCGGGTCCCTCTCTGCGTGTCGATCCTGGTTTACAACCGAGCATGGGCGGACGATCCCCGAGCACGCGGCAGAAAGCTTACGTATGCACAAGCTTCAATCTCGGCGGATGCGCGAGCGGTATCCCCTAGAACCTGGTAACCTCGAGGACCTCTTATCCGCATGGAAACGGAGCGGTCCGCGTTAGGAACCCCTGAGACGATCCGATCTCTGTTATGCTGAACTGGAGCTCAAGGCCGGGATTCCCTTGTCGTGTCTCCAAGTCGCTTAGACCCGGAGGGCCACAGTCGGTGTTTGAAAGAGAGTATATCCCCCGTGGACTTGTGTTTCAACAGGACGATTAGTTGCAATGTCCCGTTAGTCTACTCCTTCTCACTCCCTAGAGTCCCTCTCGGGCCGCGTTTACTGCCTACCCCTACTCGCCGTCTGCATCTGAGCGCGTAGCTCCTGGGGGCCTGGTCCGACCCCCAAGAAGGATCAAAGTCTTACAGCAAATATTGAACCCATGATGTCCTCGTTGGGATATGCCTAACTCGATTTCTCCCACATCCAACTGGGGATAGCATCAAGGCAACCAGGCGGGGGACCCCCTTTCTTGTCCAGTCTTCCGCTGCTATCCGGGGTCCCGTGCCGCACAGCCCTCAACCACACTGGGCTCAGTCTGTGGCTCATGTGAAATTTGGACCTTGTGCTTTGTCAGGTATCGTTCTGTCGTTGGATTCCACCCATCCCGTCTCGTGTTGTTACCCGCTTGAGCGAAGACGAGGAGGCTTGAGCAACAGCGTTGTGACTCTTTTTGACTCGTGGTCTGCTGCGCGGCACAGCCCATCTAGGATAACCTACCCATTCTAGATGTTTTCACCCCGAGAGACGGTCGAGACTCGAGACTATTGGCGAAGGATCCGGTAGGGGTGAGGAAGGGGGGGACCATCTTTGACGCTGGTGCGATAATCTCGGTGAGTTGGTGATGCGTCATCCTCGGCCTTCTCGGCCAGGCGAGGTGAGTCTCTCGTTGGGGCGTTTAGCAGAGGCGGCATCGACGGTGCCGAGCGTGCCGACAGCATCGTCATGACGAGGAATCGAGGCCGGCGTATAAGTAGAGGGAGGTTCTCGTCGGTAAGATGGCGTTGGATATCAAGAGCGACAGTACACCTTCGTCTTCCCGTCGGTACTCATCCGCCGACTTCTCAGCTGATAACCTTCAACGAAGGCTTCTTCTTCTCTTCTCACCATGAAACCCTCTTTCGTCTCATTCCTGGCCACGGCGGTGGGCTCATGGGCGCTCAGCATCCCCCACGAAGTAGCTGCCCTCGTCGCTCCTCGCCAGTCTACCAACTGCGAGAACGGGCCCAACTCCCGCCAATGCTGGGGCGACTACAGCATCGACACCAACTATTACGACGTCGTCCCCGAAACAAATATAACCAGAGAATTCTGGTTAAATGTTGAGCAAGGCCCCTGCTCTCCAGATGGCTACGACCGTACCTGCATGACCTTCAATGGCACCGTGCCTGGTCCCACCATCATCGCAGATTGGGGCGACAACCTGGTCATCCACGTTACCAACAAAATGGCCAACAACGGCACCAGCATCCATTGGCATGGCATTCGCATGCTCAACAACGTGCTCAATGATGGCGTCCCCGGCGTCACGCAGTGCCCGTTCCCGGAGGGAGAGACCATGACATACCGCTTCCGGGCCACACAGTACGGCTCGACCTGGTACCACAGCCACTTCAGTTTGCAGTACGCCGAGGGCCTGTTTGGTGGGCTGATCCTGCGCGGGCCGGCCACGGGCAACTATACTGAGGACAAAGGCGTGTTGTTCCTCCAGGACTGGGCGCACCAGGAGTCGTTCGCTGGTTGGTTAACCGCGCGACAGGGCGCTCCGCTGCAAGCGGATAACGGGCTGATCAATGGAACCAACACGTACGACTGTAGCGGCAGCACGGATCCCAAGTGTGCGGGTCAGGGGAAGAAGTTCGAAATGGTGTTCAAGCAAGGAGAGAGGTATCTCCTGCGGCTGATCAACGTGGCCGTCGACGGGGTGTTCCAGTTCAGTATTGATGGACATAGCCTGGAAGTCATCGCACACGACCTTGTGCCGGTGGAGCGATACACCACCGACAGCATTCAGATCGCCATCGGGCAGCGGTACGATGTGATTGTCGAGGCGAATGCGGAACCTGGTAACTATTGGTTGCGGTCTGGGTGGATTGAGTCATGCCTTGCCAATTCCAATGCCGATGGCATCACAGGCATAGTCCGGTACGACGCCAGCAGCACTGACGAGCCAACTAGCGAGAGCACGGTCACGGTGTCCAAGAGTTGTCTCGGGGAACCGGCGGCCAATACGATTCCGCACCTCAAGTTGAACGTCGAAAACATTGGCGGGGGTGTCGTGTACGAAGAGCTGGGATTCCATCTGCCCAACTCAACCGCTCGTCTTGAGGCTACCGACTACTTCAAGTGGACCATCAACACCAGCAGTTTGCTGCTCGACTGGTCCGACCCGACTATGGCGCAGATATTTAACGGAGACAGCATTTTCCCGACTGATTACAATGTCGTGAGCGTCCAGGTAAGCCCTGTTTGGATTTGTGACTGCACCGGATGATATCGTTGCTGACTCCTTGGTGTAGCCGTCTGGTTCCGATCCAGAATGGACGGTCTTGGTCATCCAAGACACCAGCAATTTTGGGTAAGCATCATCTCTTCGCCACCGCCCTCGGTTTACCATTTGCGTAACTGACATCTCCTCTTTTCCTTTCACAGTATCGCTCATCCTATCCATCTACACGGCCACGACTTCTGGGTCCTCGCCCAAGGTACCGGGACTTTTGACGGCGACACCTCGGGTTTCAACGTGACTAACCCTTCTCGCCGCGACGTCTCGACGCTGCCCGGGAACGGTTATCTCGCCATCGCGTTCAAGATGGATAACCCGGGCGCGTGGCTCGTCCATTGCCACATTGCATGGCACGCTAGCGAGGGGTTGTCATTGGAGATTGTCGAGAGCCAGAGCTCGATTGAGGCCGGGGTCGATCCGACTAGTCGCCAACAGTTTGACGATGTTTGCGCAGCGTGGACTGGGTCCACCCCCGTCTGGCCGCAGGATGACTCTGGGATTTAAACTCTGAGTTGTGGGAGGAGGTCAGGAGGGGCGTGGATTGAGATTGTATCGGACGGTACGTTGGTTTGTACAAGTCTCTTGGTCTCTTCCTCTATTCGGACCGAGGCCTCGTGAGATCGGTCAGCGACTTGGTGGAGTATCGCTTGGGTAAGAATCAAGATTGTGGTAGTCGTGGTTTCGATTTGGTCTCCAATCTCTCTGTAATTGTATCATTCGAGTAATCAAGAGTCAACCATTCTGTCGAAACTTCCGGTCCTGTCTTCCTGATTCACACTCCCAGATGCTGAGATCCGGCTGCGGTGCTTGAATTCAAACCATTGGAAAGTCTTGTTGGTATGAAGCTCAAAAATGACTATCTTTTTTGGTTTGTTGCTTTTCTTGCTAATTGCAGCGAGCTGTAACTAGTCAAAAAGGGAGGAGTTGGTGAGCAGCGGAGTGACGGTTGTCGCCAGCTGGCGCTGAATTCCCCCCATTCATTGGCTTGTCAATTCGAGGAGCTTTCGCAACAGCACATCAGCATCCCACCACACCACCATGAGCCGGATCCCGACCGCCGAGCTGAGCAGATACCTGCTGGCAGGGCAGCTCACACGAAATGGCTGTCTCTATTCACAGATTCCTCGAATCCCCCCCGCCAGACAACTGCGTCGCCCTTCCACTGGTCAAACCCGAACGCTAAACACCCAATCCGACCCGACGACGACGCCAACGACCCCGCAAAATGCACCCACGCCGGCCATAACCCCGCTGCGAAAGCAGCTAAAAGACCAGGCCAAGGCAGCGAAGGCTTCAGGGAAGAAAAAGAAGAAGAAAAATGTGGACAACCAGACAGTGCCCGGGTGGGATTTGACCGTCGGCATCGAGATCCATGCGCAGCTCAACACTGCGCGCAAGCTGTTCTCGCCTGCGGCGTCCTCCGTCAACGACAAACCCAACAGTCATGTCGCTCTGTTCGACGTCGCCATGCCCGGCTCTCAGCCGCTGTTTCAGCCCGAGACCCTCATTCCCGCCGTACGCGCCGCTTTGGCCCTCGGCTGCAACATCCAGCCTGTGAGCCGGTTCGACCGCAAACATTATTTCCATTGGGACCAGCCGTCGGGGTATCAGATCACGCAGTACTACCACCCGTTTGCGCGTGATGGCTGTATCTCTTTGCAGGCCCGAGACGGTATCGCGGCGGAGGACGGCGAGGGGGTCGAGATTGGCATTCAGCAGGTACAGATGGAGCAGGACACGGCGAAGACCATGGCTCAGCCGGGTGGCGTGCACTGGCTCGACTTCAACCGTGTTGGTTTACCGCTGGTGGAGATCATAACTCGTCCGCAGATCCATCACCCTGCTACCGCGGTTGCCCTTGTGCGCAAGGTGCAAATGCTGCTTCGGTCCGTTGACGCTTGCGTGTTGGGCATGGAGGCTGGCGGGCTGCGCGCCGACATCAACGTGTCAGTACGGCGGACCGGGGCAGAGGGTCTAGGCACCCGCACGGAAATCAAGAACTTGAGCAGTTTCAAGGCTGTTGAAGACGCCATCATTGCCGAGCGTGATCGCCAGATTGCCGTGCTGGAGGCCGGTGGTGTGGTTGCGGGTGAGACACGCGGTTGGTCGCTTGGTAGCACCGAGACTCGGCGTCTTCGTGGCAAGGAAGGCGAAGTCGACTACCGTTACATGCCGGATCCGGATCTGGCGCCCGTGGTCATTGGCGAGGATCTTGTTGCGCGGCTGGCTTCTTCCCTGGGGATGCTCCCCGATGCTGAGGTCGACCAGTTGATTGACGAGTACGGTCTGAGCGCGAAGGACGCCATATCCCTGACTACAATCGACAATGGCTCACGCATTGAGTACTTTTACCGTGTCCTCGACGCACTCGAACAACAGCTCGGGATCAAGGCAGATATCGAATCAACCGATGATGCCAAGCAGCGTCGCGCCCTCATCGCGGCAAACTGGTGTCTCCACGAGCTGGGCAAGCTTGTCGAAACAGCCCCCGGCGTCGAAACGGCAGCTCTATCCGGCGACGCTGAAACACTTGTCCCTTCCGCTGCGCTAGCCACCATCCTCGCACACCTCCACTCCCGGCGTATCACGACCAAAGTCGCCAAGGAGCTCTTCTGGCGCGCTTTCCGTCGTGAGATCAGTGCCGACACGGTCACAACTGCCATTGATGACGACGGTTTATGGTTCAAGGAGTTATCACAAGATGAATATGCGGCGCTCGCAGATGAGGTGGTGCAGGGAGAGGAGAAGGTCCTGGGTGAGTTTGCTCGGTTTAAGCAGGGCAAGGCCAAGGCGTATCCGCAGGGCAAGCTGATGTTTTTGGTGGGGAAGATGATGAGGCAAGGCGGAGACCAACGGATGGACCCGGCTGAGGCGGAGAGGGTGTTGAGGGCGAGGATTGAGGAGGTGCATCTTTCAGGTTTGGGTGAATAACGACCTAGCTGGAAGGGCGTGGATTATCATATCGAAACGTTGAATGGTGATGATCTCCTGGAAATGCATCTGTTCACATTCGAGTTCAGCTCAACAAAGTTCGTGTCCCGCAGTACCATTAGCTCAGACGTTGGAGGTGGCTGGGTAATTATTCGTCGCTCATCTCAAATTCGTAAACTGACATATCTCATCTTCCATACTCCTAGCCTACATAAGCCCATGACTGCCCCTGATGAAACGCTGCCCAGAGTGTAACCCGACTCATCTTCGATGTCCTAATTATCACAAGGTTCAACCCACCCTCGATCTGAGATTACTCTCCTATTCCCATAATACGCAGCCTTCCTACAAGTGCTCCATTATCCAAAATCTCGCATCCTCACCCCCTCCTCACAGACGCCACAACCAACCCAACAACCGATGCCACAGCCACACGTCCCGCTAAGTCCGTAACCAGAGGTAGCGTTACAGCAGCAAGCAAAATCGCCAATGTCACGAGCAGGGCGGTATTCTTGACTTCATTCTTGTCACCCTGTGTCGCCAGGCCCATCGTTTGCTTTCCCGTGTCAGGGGAATGTGGCCTGGCCGGAAGAATGAGTGTTGGTGCTGATGTTGGTGAGGAAGTTGGTGTTGGTAACATCTGCGTGTTAGGCTGTGAGGTCTGATGAGAACGGTCTTCTGTAGCGCTGTGGGAGTTCTCTGGTGTGTAAATAGCGGAGGAGTACGACGAGGACCGGCTTCGGTAGGAGGGCTCTATTTCTTTTTCGTGGGTGTCGATACCACCTAAAGCGAGCCGATGGGGCACAGGCGTTGAGGGGCCGTCTAACTCTTCGTCAGGGAGTGGCGAGTAACCTGCTGATAGGGAGGAGGACGAGGAAGACGACCGTCTTCTGCGGGGTGGTGATAGACAGACTAAGTCCTCGGTTGGGTCGAGGAACCGCGTTTCCATTTCGGCGATAGGGTTGTGCGTGGCGAGGTAGGTGCGGTAGTCTTCGATGTCGTGGACAGATGCGGGTGAGAGAGAGAGGGTATTGGTAAAGCCTTCGAGTGCATTGTCTATGGTTCTGCGTTAGCAACGAACTGCGATACTGAAACCTTGTTCCGAGGGTAGGGTATTGACAGGGAACATACTATACTGGCCCAATTTAAACCCGACTTTCCCCAAGAGATCCGTCTTCCGCCACTGCAGTTCCCCGCCCGCCATGAATTCCGCCCGTCTCGACGCCGGGAGGATACAGTTCTGTAGTCTCCGCGTTTGAGTATCTGCAGTGTCGAGCCGGTGCAGCTGCTCCTCCAACTCGCTCAGCTCGTCTTGCAGGTGCAACAACAGCCGGTGGTTCAGCGCTTCGAACTTTCGGTAGATCGGCTTGATGCCGTTTCTAGCTGACTCGTCGTTTCCGCTATTATTGCTATCCTGAGAGCCCTGGGAGCCGCTTCCGCTAGACCCGCGTCGCGCTGGCCAGTGATTGGGTGTGGACAGCTTTGCTGCGAGAAGCTCGTAACCTGACATGGGCAACTTTTCGGCGCGTGGGAGATGCTTGGGGTAGCCTTGGCCGGGGGGTACGAGACGGGGCTGGAGCTCGCTCGGGGAGACGTGGGGGTGTTTGGCCGGGCCGCGGGACATCTCGGGAGTCCCGTAGCGATCTCGGTCTCTGATGCTTCCGTGAGTTTGGTGGGTGCGGGTGTTCCGGTAAGCTTTATGAGTCGGGCTGCCGAAGGATGGTTGATGGTAATGATACGCCTCTGTTGACTCTGGCCCAGCCGTGGGAAGATCCTGCGGTTGACCGTTTCCGCTCTCGCTGTAGTCAGGAGTCGTTGCAGCTGTGTGGTTAGTCGCATTGCGTCGTCTGCTCGCATTGCTTCCGAACGAAGAGACAGTTCGTGGAGACCAGTTGTCCGCCGCTTCTTCAATGGCCTGGCGAATTCTTTCCTCCGTAACAGCGGGAGAATCGCTTTCGAGGAAGTACAGTGCGTCTGGCGGTGGAAGCTGAGATTGATAGGGCGAGGTGTATCCTGGCTGCGTTTCGCCCTCACGCTTTTCTTCCCTTTCCTCTCCTTTTCTTGCTCCAGGTGGTGGCGTGCTTGGGTTGTCCACTCTTAGTCGCCCATCCTCCTCCTCACTAATACTCGCGCTCGAATGCCCCGTTTGTTCCTCTCGGTGGTGGTTAGATACTAGGTCAGGAGAGCTCAAATTGCTATCTCTCGTGCCATCACTTTCAGAGCCGGTCGCAGCGGACGGTGGGGGACGATCCAAGTGGCTTTCATCTACCCTTTCTAAGACGGGAGTGTCGCGGCCATCGCGGACAAGAACCGGTGCTGATATTGGCCTCCCTTTCTCCCCGTCTGGGATCTGATAATTGACCGATGCCCGAAAAAAGGTTACGTTCTGTGAAGCATCGTTTGCGCTATATGCCCGGCTTCGTTTCGGAGGTTGGGCGATGTCCGGATCATCCCGACCGTGACGAAGGGTGACTGGGATTTTATGTTCCATCTCCTGCTTTCACAGGGGATTGGACCCCTGATGAAATGTCGCGGCGGCGAGCGAGCGAGCGTCTTCCTGGAGGAATGGAATTTGTTTCGTGTTTTCTCGAGCTCAGCTCCTTGTGCGAGAACTTGACTTTTCCAAAGGCAACAAAAATGCGCATGTGTCAAACTCGACGGTCTGCTGATCTGCCTGCAAGCAGGCAACCTTCGGGCATTTGTTGGCCCGTCAGGCTGGGTGTGTGCCGTCACACAAATGCGGAGAGCGCTCATGTATTGGTTGGCGCCGTCGGTGTTGGTCGAGAAGCAGGTTTGGACCGTTTGGCGGTTGGGGGACCTGATAAAGTGCGGAAAAGGGAATTGAGGGAAGCAAACACCTATCAAATAAATGGATTTCTTGTAGCGATCGCTGGGCTCATAACGGAAAATGAAAGGACGAGACATTCGGGGGCAGTTCAACCGACATCATTGTAGCAGGCGCCCGGATAGTGGCGTGATTTTTCAACCGCCGAGTTTTACTATCTCACCAAACCAGCTTGACGCGTCCTTCCGCAGGCTGTGCTAAAGCCTTACTGCACACCCCGGCCCAGGGTGAAATGGCCCAAATATGCATCCGAGCATGCTGTCGAAGTGTCGGCTGAACAATTTGGGGCGTTTCAGAGCGAGGTGAGGGGTCGCGGATCTCCCCTGATGTGGCCCCTGGGCATCACATGACTTACACATGTCAGTCAGCTTGTTCGCTCGTGCCATAAGCCTCTACCTACCTACCTTACTTGATTCTATAGTGCCCCATATCAGATACCTACCCTAAGGAAGGATCTATCCTTCGGCAGGGTTCACATTTTGGGAACCCCTACACACATTGTCCGCTCTTGATTAGGATTCTTTGATGTTAACGAAGAAATTCCAAATTTCCAATTACTCCATCATTTCCGTTTGCGTTTGGGAGATTTATAATCCTTTGATCCGCTACCCTTTTCCGGCCAATCCAACTATAATTTATGATCTCTGAAGCTCAACCAGTCTGTCTAACTCCCTATCATGCTTCTTCACTCACTTCGGAACCGTCGCTTTGGCTGCCCTCCTCTATTCTCGCCCTTCCTGCCTGAAAGTCTTCTTTGTGTGTCTCGAGCCCCTCTTCTTCCAGCATAATACGCTCTGTAGGAACATCAGCATTATGTCTGTTGATTACCATCGGTGCAAGCAAGCACAGGAACAAGGTTACCATCTATCGTCAAGGATGGGCCAAGGATCTCGATGTTCCCTTCCCTTTGGGCCAGCCGTGCCTGCAGGTACTCAAGCCCCAACTCATACACATGACCCGTGTTGAAGGGACATTCTGATGTTGGGCAGTTCCAAAAAGTCGAGATGCTCCCGTCTCAGCGGGACTTGGTATGTTACCGTGACATTGCAGTGTGGCGCTGGAGAGCACAGGTCGATGTCCCCAGGGTCGGCCAACCTGTGACACCCGGGACAAACTCTCTGGATGGCAACGCACATTGTGTTGATCGGCTGGATTGTTGTGGGGGTGTGAGGTTGGTGACAATGTCAAAATGATAACGACTACTGTCAGCCAGAAGACAAAAGGGTCCGATATCTAGACATCACAGACAAAGCTAAGGTCAAATGCGGTCTTTAATGGTCTGAAAACATACAGCTCGTTTTCGGCACACAAATGCCTAGTCAAAACAAAGCCTCTGTTATGGCTAGGTGCGTTGACTTACCTATCCTGGCGGAAACAAAGGTTTTAGCAGTTACCGGATTCGGCCTTGGGGATCTGATAGTAAACAACCCAACCACCTTACCAAGCTTACCTACCTAAGACAAAGGGTGCGTGTACCAATTGAAGGGTAAGTTGTTCCAAAATTAAAAGCGGCTCGTAGGTACATCACTACGCAGTAAGAAGGGAAGAGTTTAATCAGAACCTGACTGGAGTGAAATCTGTTATACGAAACATCGAAAACTCTGGAGCGGCAATCGGCTGCACATTAAGCGTATATGCGAGCACAAGATCATCAGAGTGGAAAGTTCTAGGGACAACGTGAATCTCAATGTCACGACGTTTTGTTATGTCGATTGTGTGTAATATTCCGTTGGTGATGTCGCTACATCCAGACGTTGTTCTCTATTCCTCCACTATTGTCCGTGTTGCTAGCCTCCATCGGCATCGCTTTGCCTTCCGCCAAGGCCCGTGGCGGCTTCTCCTCCTCCAGGTCTGTTTATGCAGCCCAATTGATGGCATCATTGTGTCCACCTCCAACCGCCACTAGGGCTATGTTGATCTCCACTAGTTCCTTCTCGTTGTCTGCTCGCTGCTTCTTGAGCCCTTTGAGTCGGTAGTACTGGCGCTATCAGTCAGGTGTTGCCATGAAACCTGAAGTTGAGATCCCCGCCCCGGACCCTGCCCTTCGGGGTCGTCAGGCAGGAGCCGGTACGCGGGGTTGATCTGGTCACCGAGCCAAGCTGTTTAGATGGCACCCAGATTCTCTGTCGTGGTTCAAGTGACATAGGTGCTCTATTGCCGACCACTCCTCTTCAGTACCGCAAGGTGTGAGTGACAGGAATGGACCTGTCGTCTGCGCAGAAATGTCTGGTTTACAGAAGTCGTCGTAGTTAACTTCTGCATTAAGGTAGAATTCAGGAGATAGTTAAGTGTCAGATTTTGGGGTAATAGCAGCTTACACCCGCAATTTGGTTATGTGGAAAACCACATCGTCGGAGGAATAGCAACAGATCATCCTCCCCAGGGGTCCAGTATTGTGTCAGTCGCTGCGTTGCCTCATGCGCTGATATCTCCTGCTCTGCCCGAGCCAGGAGGAGATCAATGTGGGCAGCATGTTCGTCGCTGAGTTCTGGCAGGTTCGGGGTTGCCCGCCAGTTGGGGATGTGTCCTCCCAGAGCAACCCCATCAGGAACCTGGGCAGCCAAGGGCGCGACGGGAGGTTGTTGTTGGCTGTTATCATTGTTGTTGCCATTATTGACAGCGTTTAGGCCATCGTTGGCTTGGGCCTCCTGGTGGCCGGGTTCTTCATCCTCGGCTTGATGGTCGTCGTCGTCGTCCATGAACAGGTCATCATCAGTGGCCTCGTGGTCACTTGCGTGCATGGATGAGAGACCATCATCCGACTGGTCGTACCATGCTGGGAGTCTGTTGTCAACATTGCTCCAGTTCTGGCCTGTTTCTGAACCTGTTAGTGCATCTGTCAAACGTATTTTGAATTGCGTCCGCCGAGAGGAATCACTGGGAATCAGTAGAGAGCAGCTAGAAGACATAGAAAGACGTAGAAAACTGAATGAGTCGGGCTCGTGAAACAATAAGACAAAAGAAAAGCACGTACCGTCCTCATCGCCCCTCTCGCCCCTCTGTTGTGCCTCCAATACCCGTTCCACCCAGATCCTCACTCGGTCACGAGCCGCTTGCGAATAGCCACACCCAGGCGTGGTGCAACGCCATCCGTCGCCGAAATGGCGGCCTTCCATCAGCATCATGATGCTGACGGCGCCGACACAAGGGGTTTGTTGACAGCGGAGTGTCTCTTCGAGGCCGGAGCGGCATTTGCAGCTCGGACAGGTGAAGATCGCTGTGAAGCACATTGTTGTTTGTCTTTGTCTTGATGTACTTTCCCTGTGTGGTTCTTGGTGCTGTAGGTGATGGCTGTGTTGATCACTACGACGGGTTCGTCGCAGCGATTACGGCTGTGACGAGGAGGTTGGGATTGGGGTAATTGGTTGTTCGTTGTGATCTAGGGAAAAGACTTAGGAGATATGAGGAGTTGTGTATTAGGCGGGTAAAATGGTCGAGTCGTCGTGGTAAAGTAGGATGTGTGGATGCAAAACGAAGTCTGGTGTGAGGTGCAAAAGTTTTCTGGCATGGAGGGTCGAGAAACAACTGGGGGTAGGAGATTTCCTTTTCTGTGTTTTTCTTTGAGATCTCTTTTCTTTAGTGCGGAATTAGGGCAATATCCCTTACTCAACCTTAAGATGGGACGAAAGAAGCCATTCACACCCAGTGACCCAGTGCCTTCCCTGGATCCAGTTCAATACGGTATTGTGACAAGATTACCGCCTTATTTTCGTGTTTAAGTAAACTGCAACCCCTTGTTAACTCTTAACACAGTAAGTGACAAAAAGAAACTGCAAAGCAGATGAGATCGCGAGCGGAAGTCCTTAAACAGGTACAGGTAGCAGGAACATAGAGATGTTTAGACTCGTACTTTTCTCTCTACAGCGTTGATCATCCGGGTTCCAGCAATCACGGCCAAACGTTACATATACCAACTCTCCCCTAAAAATAAATATTCTCTTGGTTTACTGCGTGAGTTGCTTACCTGCCACAAGCTAGTTTCTTTTTAACACCTCACACACTTACCTGTTTGTCATCAAGTCCTGGCCGACCCATTCGCTTAACTACTTAGAGTTTGGCAATCATGGACTATGACAATAATCTGTGTAAAACATAATCACGGTTCCTTCGCTTCTGGGTTTTCGATTGAGATTTAGTTTCCGCCTCAAGGAGCTTGGTACCTTGGTATCCCCCATATTCGCTGATGCTCTCGGTAGGTATCTTCTCAAGATGCTTAAAGATCACTTGCGGTGCAAAAGGTTCCTGTGATGTAAGGAACGCATGAAGCTCCAGAAATTCCAACTCCATTGCTTGCTATGGTTCAGGATGATCAAGCCCTTCCAACTTCGGCGTACCCCCCCGATCTTCTGCTCACCGGGCTGAGATCGACTTCCCGCCCTGTCACAACCCGGTCTGATGGGAATAACACGGGGTGGTTGAATCAATGGTACAACTATTGTTAAATACTTCAACGTTACCGAGGGGAAATGAATTGTAATGGAGCGTGCGAGACCATCTGGTGACTTTGCACAAGTCGCGAATCTTCTTTGTGCAAACCAAAAGACCTATCAATGCGAGCACATCCAGGTCCTGGGGTCCTGCTGGCATCGTGAAGGCAAGCCGCTGCGAATTCCCGAGGGCAACCACCAGCAACCCTGAATGTTGCTGTGGGCGTTCGCAAGTTGCATGTTGGATCAATGGTGTCTTGGCCCAACTGGGAGTTCACTCCGGCGTTAGACAGGGGCCCATGCCTTGAGTGCTGCAGTTGGCCTGCAAGGCCCCAAAAAGAGGTCGGAAGTTGGTTGTGTGCTCGCTGTGGCGTTGGTATTCCTCCCTCATTTTGAGGCTTTTTTTGAGGGGTTCTTCTGCAATATGGTCTAGGCTATTCAGCAGATGTCATGACAACCCATTTAGCAGCCTTCCTCACCTTCTCGCCCGAGTCTCCTATGCGGACCGCACCGAATTCTAGAGCTGGAGACGCGGCCCGGGTGGAGCATGCAAAAGAGAAGGCGTCATCCGCACCAATCATCAAGCCTACCAAAAAAATAGGGTGGTGTTGCACATGGAACCTCGTTCCCGAATGCAGAACCCCACTGTGTCTATTCAGCCTCTTCCCAACCCGAGCTGGCGTCCACGCCGAGATTGCAACCCTGGTGTTGAGGTTGGGAACATGGAAGACAAGAAGTTTGGTATAAATGGGAAGAGGGCGCCGTTTGCGTGTCACGGTGTCTCACATGGAATGTTATTCTCCGAGATCATCTTGCCGACCTGCCCAGGTGAGAAACATTTGTCTCTGCCCCAGAGTTAAGCCAAGCCACGTCTTTGCCCAACATGCACTGGTTGTCACCGTTTGTCGGACTCCTCGCCTTGGCCGCTGCGGCTCCCAGCCCCCCGGCCACGTTCACGGAGCCAGTCAAAGGCATTGACAACAAAGTCTTCAAGCGGATCGTGCATTTCCTCAAGATTGCCCAAGCGACCTATGCCGGAGACTCGTGCCACATCAAGAATGTTCCCCGGCTGGCCACCTTCTACAACGCGACGACGGACATTTACGGCTGGATCTCGCGCGACGATGCGACGCGGGAGCTTATCATCAGCTTCCGGGGCACTGTCAGCGACATCAACCATGACCAGAACCTAAACTCTACGCTGGCTGATATGTCGGCCACTTTGCCCGAGTGTGTGGGATGCAAGTCGCACGGCGGCTACTACCTGAACTGGCTGTCTATCCAGGATCAGGTGTATGCGCGACTCCAAGAGCAGCAAGAGGCTTATCCGGACTACAGTCTCATTGTGACAGGGCACAGGTCAGTGGCGATATTTTTCTTTTTCCTTCTTTTTCTTTTCTAGAACAAGAGCATGATTCGTCCACGGCCGTTCCGGGCGACCGTCGCATATCTGTGTATCGCATGAAATGCTAACGGCGATCCCCGGACCTGCAGTCTCGGCGGCGGACTGGCCGGCATCAGCTCAGCCCACTTCCTCGCGCGCGGCCTGCGCCTGACAACCTTCACCTACGGCGAGCCGCGCATCAGCAACCCAGCCTTCGCAGACTGGCTCGACTTGCACTTCAAGACGGGTTCGCTCAAGACGACAGGCTACCTCCGCACGACACACGCCAACGACGGTATTATCCCGATACCCGCCACCAGCTTAGGGTATCGCCATCAGGGACTCGAGCTGTGGGCGCTCGACCCGCCTAGTGCACAAAACACGTGGGTTTGCCCGCCTGAGGGGTTCTGCGCTGAGGCGTCAAACAATGGGACGGGTATCAATACGCCGCATATCTTTTACTTTGGTGTTGGCAGTGGGAACTGCACGAAGACGGTATGAGCATGAATTGTGTGTTGTATATTTAACGTTACGTCCCACCAAAAGAAGACGTGACGAGCTGGGGAACAGAAGGCCCGGAGGTTGCATGGCGAACGAAGGTCCACTTGGGGGACTTGGCGAGCTTCACCGGTCGGTCTTGAAACGGACTTTTGGATGTGCAGCCAGTTTAGTTAAATCAGTATCCATTGCACAAGATGTATCCGTAATGTACCTTCACAAAAACAGTCGATACTTGCATGTATGTACATGTACCTATGTACTTCGTAAAGTTTGGAAAAGACTCAAGGACGTCAACTGCAAGTCGATTTCCGCGCTCTCCGGCCGCAACAAAACGCAAGGGAACCTGGGGTGATGCGTCCCAGCACCCAAGCTCGCTGTGGCCAAAAAAATTGACACACTCAAACAGGTAGCTCAAGTCTAATCCATTAACAGTGGATCAAATCTTAATAAATTTTGATTGTTATACGGAGTACTCTTTTTTGTCTTTTTTCACTTTCTCGATTTATTCTTTTTTGTCTTCTTTCCCTTTTTTTTGATTTATTCTTTTTGGTTTTTTTTTTTTTCACTTTTCAAGCAACGTAAGTTATCCAGGGACTTGGTGTGCCGCTTTTTTTGGCCATAGCGAGCCAAGTGATCGCTCGATGGGCGGGGAAGTTGAACATGGGCTTCCGAGCGGCGCAGGCATGGGAGTAGGATCAAAATGGTTAGCTTCTGGCCCATCAAGTCCCCTGGATCCTGCATGGATTTCAGTGAGCCATGCCTGAACAGGGTCGTCGGAAACCAAGCTCGGACTGCCCGGCGACTTTCACCCACCATGGCCACCATTGAAAGTGTCCTACACGTATTGTACACTATACTACACTAGTGTAAAAAGGGCAGTTCACTGGGCGGAAGGGATCGCGTCCGAAGTTGGCTTTCCAGTGATTTGTATTAGCGGCCTTGGCCAAGCGCCGGCGCGATGGGGCTTTTTGGGACCGCCGCCCCCTGAGATCTTCGGGCCGTTCCTCGGGAGCTCGGGAGTTGACCGGTCAAAGGCTTCCCAGCCATTGATACGACGTCGCAAATGGCCCTTTTGCCAAAATGGGCGATCACGTGATAGTCTCTCGCTTGCGCAGGTGGCGAAACTCCTGGCCGACTTCCCTTTTCATTTCATGCCATTCGCGAGGCAATTCCCAGGTGTTGGGCAACCATCGCGCAGTCTCGTTCGAGGTACCGGATTTTTACAAACGTTTCCTTTCGATGTCGAGGACTCCGAACGGATCACGAGTCAGCGACCAAAGGATTTAAGGTTTTATCAATCTCATGCTGGAAGACACTAGAGGAGTGGGATTGGTTGGGAAACTCCGTGAAACCCAAGCCCGAACTTTTGCCAGGGGGGCGATCTGGGCGCCGACTCCCACACGATCACCCACGCTATAAAACCTAGCCTGCGCTCCACTGCTCCCCACTCGCGTTTCGAGCGCTGCTCCTGGTCACGGCGCCTCATCCTCCCCACCGACATACATACAGTGTCAAGACCCCCCTTGAACCACGCCACGGTCGAGGCCGGGTGTGAACTTCACATCGCTGTCGTGCTTGTTGTCCATCCATCTATGGGTCGACCACAATGGCCAGCGACGCCAGACCGGGGGTGGACCTGAACGAGTCGCTGGGCCCCGAGTATGCCGCCGTGATCATAACCACATGTTCGATCGCGGTTATCACGCTGTTGCTACGCTTCTACACCCGTCTCTTCATCCTGCGGACACTCTTCCCAGACGATTACTGTATCATCGGGGGCATGGTAAGTGCGCACTGTCTGGGCAGGTTGTGGGAAAACCCTGTGAGACAGCGCTGACTTGGGCCTGTCTGGCGGACTAGATTGGCACCATCGGCATGGGCATCTGCTATGGCATTAGTAAGTTAGGAACTTCTAGGGCCCTTCCTTGCAGGAGGAAGACATGCGTTGACGCGCGGGATTAGCTATTATCCACGGATTTGGCCACCACATCGAAGCCATCACGCCGGAGGACTTGCAGATGCAGGCTAAGGTAAGCAAATCAGGGGAGACCCGACTCCAACAACATCAACCCGTTTCTATCGCCTTGGAGCCGGGCAGTCAATACTAGGAAGGGCCCCTGCTGACGTGCGTGGTCGTTACTCTGCAGGCCAGCATCGGCGGCCTCGTCTTCTTCCACTGGTCCCACGCGTTCGTCAAGTCGTCCATCCTCCTCCAAAACCTCCGACTATGTGTCACGACACTAGAGAAACGGATCTGCTACGGCGCCCTGGCGGTCATCATAGCCGAAGGGTTCGTTTGGATCTTGCTCACATTTGTGAGCTGCACGCCTTTCCAGGCCATGTGGAGTCCTCATTTGGCCAAAGTCTCTTGTATCAACCAGACGGCCAGCTACTATTCCTGCGCGGCCCTCATCATTCTTGCCGATTGCTTCATTATTGCGTTTCCCGCCTTCCTACTCCGGGACTCGATGCTACCGAGGTCTCAGAAGTGGGCCGTCGGGGCCATCCTTGCATTAGGAGGAGGGTGAGTTGTCAGGCCCATGCCCTTTGTTTTACTGCAGGAGGCTTTCCTTGAATGAACCCTTCCCACCCTCAACTCAATAATCGCCTGCTTGGCTCACACCTCTGACGCTCATGTTCTCTAGCGCGTGCCTTGTTTCGATCCTCCGCATGGTCTACATCTACCGGTCGACCAACTCGACCGACAGCACATGGGACAAGATTCCCAACTCCATCCTCGGCATCACCGAGGTCAACATGGGCATCATCCTCTCCTCGCTCGCGACCTTACGCCCGCTAATAAAACGGATCCGCCCCTCACTCTGGGCGATCAGCAACGTCCCTAGCACAGCCTCGTGCACACACCACAATCCAACCTTACAAAGGAGGCCGCGCCCCGCGAATGGCGACGATAGTGTCCTGGGCCGATACAGCAACAACGATGGAGAGGACGGAAGCACGACCGAGAAAGGGTGTACCTGTGCCGATGGGGGACGTACCGATGGAGCGGCACCTGCGGAGCTGGAGAAAACGGAACCTGAGATAATACCGCCAAGGTCGAATAATATAGTGGGATAACACAAGCACACATGGTTGTCTTGGAAGGGAGGAAAACTACCTAATTTTGGAGGGCTGTGGTTTTCTCCAGGGAGATGAAAGCTAGTTCTCAATGTCTTCCACGTTAGATTTACTTGGGAGCATCTAGCTTTATAATGAGTCCGTCGAGCAGAAACAGTCTCGGGGTATGATTCGGCTTATTATGACAGCTTAACCGGTTTTTCATTATTAAAGCACCTTGGGTAAAGGTTTAAACATTATCTCATCTTTAAATAATACCAGGAATACAGTGAGAAGTAGAAAGAGAGTCATGAAGCTCTGTTTTTTTTGTAACATACGAGGTGCAACAGCACTGCGTATCATAGCTGGCGCGGTTTCGCCTGTCCTCTTCGTCTGTTACCACTTACGTCCTCCTTCTGTGTACTGTGATTAGCCATCGTGCCGCACTTTGGTAATTTCCCGAGCAGTCAAACAAAAGAAGCATGGAAGAAAAGAAGTGTTGCTAAGTGAATATGTAAACCGATGAGACATTCTCAGTAACACTGTGCACTGTACTGTGTACTACAAACAACTTGTAACCAGCTATAATTACATAAACCCACCTCGGCACCATTCATGTAACTATGTATGTAACTTTACAGCTCTTCCATGTCACACATGTCAGTCTCAACCCAGCGACTGTGTTATAACCTGCCCCACTGCTTCCTCGTGTCATCAGCTACTCCTCACACCCACTCATCTCCCGGCCATTTGTCGCCGTCTGATCTTGGTCCAACGCGTATCACACCCATTTTTAGAGTGTCGAGCGAGGAAATTCTGTCAGTAAATGTGGCGAAACACTGGTTAGCTGAATCCTGAGTACATGTGCTAAAGTATGGCAATCAAACGAAACAGCAAAGGAAGAGGGGGGGAGGTAAATACAAGGAAAGGCCAGGAATAACGTACCGGGATCACGTTAATTGGGGTCCCATGCTGACGCAGAAGCGTCAGCAGCTCATCTTCCTCTTCAAACCACCGGGGCCACCGAGTTGGTACATCCGCTTGACCTCGCAATGCAATTTCGGCCACAAGTCTGTCCCTATGGGTGACAAAGTCCTCAACTTCTCCTTCTTCTTCTTCCTCTTCTTCTTCCTCGTCTTCTTCTTCCTCCGGATCGGCATCGGCCATCTCTTCGTCCTCGTCGATGCCACCGCTCTGACCAGACTCATCATCCCCCGAAAGAGGCACTGTCGATTCACGCTCGAATTCCTCGAAGTCCGGGTTTTCCTCTGGCCTGTTCATGATGGTATTGGCTAATTCAAAGCGTGGATAGTTAGTAACGGCATGTAAAGAGAGGGCTGGGACAAAACAACGGAAAAAAGAGCGGGGGGGGGGGAATAAGAACGGTCACAACAAAAAGGAGGGGAAAAAAAAACTAATAGACTCACCCGTATCACGCCGAGTTTGCCGAATCATCTGATCCACTTCTACCTCAACAATCTTCTGGGCAATCTTCTCTTTCCCATCCTCGCTGTAGCCGCACTCCTTATTTACGCATGACCATCTCTTAAAGTGATCCGGCTCCATAAGCTTTTGGAATTTCTGGATAATCGCGCAGTTATTGCCGTGGCTTTCGAACCGCTCGATGCGCCAGTGGCCGGAGCGGAAGAAGCACCGAGGGCAGATGAATATGAGCCGGATGCACATTTTCACGCCCGAGCTTGTTTAGTTGATTGCGGATGGTTTGTTTTGCTGGTGTGGTTTGTGCCAATCTATAGTAAAAACAAACCTGAAGAGGAAACGAGAGCACAGCTTGGGTGAGCGAGACCTGTGCGGCGTTGAGGGGTGCAGTTGTGTTAAGACGAAAAGAAAAAACCCCAGAGCCATTTTTTCAAGAGAATGGGGTTTAGACAGCGTATTTATTCGTAGTGTTCTGGTGGGAGGTGATAAAGGACACGAACAATACACAGAGTGGTGAACAATGAATACACGACGACTCCAGAATTCATCGCCTTGTGTTCAAGGACCAAAGAGTGAAGTCGAGACATAAAAAGCCTTTGTTGAAGTTGGCCTTGTCTTTGGATGGCGCTGTATCCGAGTGTACCAAAAATAGAGTCTCCAGGACTCCAAGGATAGAACAATGAATTGTAAGCCAGAGACTTGTGTGAAAGATGGGGGATCTGGAGTGGAAGAAAGTAGGTTGAGATCATCGTGCTGGTCAAGTTGGCTACTTTTGGGTTCTATCGCTGTTGTTCCGGAGATGGTCCAAGGTGGCAATTATTAGACTCAAGAAATGATATAAGAAAAGGGATATCTTTCTTCCCATCCCCTTGTGCTGATTTTCATCGTTCTCCAATCTCGCAGGTAAGACCGGGTATCACCAGAAAGAAAAGAAGACAAGACTCTATGATGGCGATTCAGAAGCAGCCGAAGAGTATTTGTACACGCTCCTGGAGAGGGCAAGGGTGAAGCGGGCCGAATTTCTTGTCATTCTTAGACCCAGATGACTGTGTGATGTTGTTTGTGTGTTGTTAATTAACTTGATTATCTCAATCATGGCCAAACAAGATAACATCTGGGGTCTTGTGACGCTCTTACTCACAAACGCGGCTTTCTACATCAGTCATTTAACTTCTTGACGAAATATAGTGCGTTTGAAGCGCGATAACCCTCGACATTTTAGGCTGAACGGGTTGCGTGACCTGGAGTGGATTGATCATGAAACGACGGCATCCAATGTTAGTACATGTTGCAGGGAATATGAACTCAAAGCCCAAGCATTAGTCAAGGAGAATAGGAAGGCTGCTCAAATGAGAAGAGAAATAAACGCTAATTCGATTGATGCCGCCCGCCCCAGTCTGTCATGACTCGTCTCGTCGTAAGCTCTAATCTACTAATTAACAATAAAGGAGTGATTTGCACCTCCGCTCTATCTGCTTCTACACATTAAGTTATCATGATTTCCAGTAGGTATGTCGTATCGGTCGTTGATGGCGTAAGAAAAGCCAAAAATCCATAAATCCAAACAGTCATAAAAAACAAAAGCCAAACAATCGGGAAACATCTTGTCGCGCGCCGTTTTTCGTCATCATCAGTCATTTCAGTGGTCGTGGTCATCGCACATAAATGTGTGTCCGGTGGGCTGCTGGTATAGCTGCTTGTCGGAAAAATAGTTGGTCGGGTAGTCAATATTGACACATTTCCCGCCGCCTGTTGGGCCAACATGAGGGCAATGGTCCTGTTTGCTTTGGTCAGTTCTGCGCCATTTGTTTGTCTTCTCGGTTTCATGCAGATCAAAACCTACATCGGGCCGAACTTGGGTCAGCACCACGTGGATACTCCGGCAGACAATATTGTCCCCCCACGCCTCGTCGTACGACCCGTAGTCCTTCTGCGAGAGCGTCGCCACGCATTCCTCAGTACTGTTCCATTGCGTGTTGTTGCCCTGGCAGCGCAACTGGGTTGCCCCACAGATCTGCTCGATGCTGGCGGCACGGAATTGCGCGTTGTCGGCATTTAGACCCGTGGTGGACTTCACCCAGCTGTTGAGGTTCGGGATCCATGCGTCGTATTTGAGCACCGCACCCTTGTGGTCGAATTTCCAGAAGGCGACCTGCTTCAGCGGCGGTAGCGGCTTGCCGTGATCGGGAGCGCCCGGGTTTACCACGCTGCAGTGCAGGTAGACCACAGACGCAGCGACACCTGGGCACTGCGAGCTGAACTCGGTGATCTGGTAGCTCGTGATGGCGGCCTTCGCTGCGTTGCCCTGGGGAAGCGGGGCGAGGGCGAAGAAATACTCGATCGAGCCCTCAAAATCGGTGAAGTTGCCAACAGGATCGACCCGGCCTACGACTTTGTGGCTGAAGAGACCGTCGGGGACACCGGCACCGCCGTACTGGAAGATCGGAAGTTGGTTAGGGTAGACCGTGAGGTTGTAGATGCTGGAGATGGTGTTGAAGTTCCGCTTGGCGAAGTCATGATGAGGCCGTTGGCTCTTGAAGTGCGGGAGCCAGTTCTTCGGCGTCGGCCAAGCGTGTGCCCCGGGGACCGTTAGACCTGTCCATGAACCAATGTGGGGCTGGAGTAACGCCCAGACTAGGGTAAGAATTGTGATGTTAAATCGAATCATGATGTTGGCATGATGTCTCAGATTTCGGGAACGGGAGGGAAGGGGACCCGGGGGGCTGGGTGAGAGCACGGCGGCGATGGCCTTAAGTAGGAACCAACCTCGGCCGGCCAGTGCTGAGATCCCCGTCTGCCTGTCGGCATCAATGCCAGCGTTGATTTTTTTTTTCGTCTTCCTGCCTTTCATTTTTTCCCCTCGTCCATCCCCAATCCCTGCGGCTGGGTCCAACCCATCGGCTCGGCAACGTGGCGGTCAAACCATGGCGTGCGGCGCCGGTTTGCCCAATCGAGCCGGGGTTGATAAAAACCCCATGCCGGGATGTTTTCCAGGGCAACGGAACAGACTCACCCGAAGCACAGCCAAAGAACCTCAAACAAAACGCGATTTGGATCCCACATCCCCCACACACACATTCGCACATCGAGGCGATAGTACCGATGTGTCGAAATGGTATTCGTTCCCGGCCAGCGCATGCGTCGAGGTCAGGGAAGTTGCTTCGAAGGTGCATGCAATGGCCGCATGGCCCAGCGCGCGAGTGACGTGGTCGGGGGATCTTGCTGCCGGGGCCTTTGGAGCCGGGGTGCATCAGCGAACCAGACTCGCCGGAACCGATAGCGAGCAACGTCCCGGATTGGCGGTTCGCAGGCCTGACATCATGCTCGTCGGGCGGTGGGATCGTGGGTTGTCGTCAACCCGGACATGAGGAACGAACGCCGACGACTTGGTTCCCCGAAAATTGGATGCCAATGCCCGAAGACGAGGGTGATGAAACCGAAGGCTGAGAAGTGGCCGTTGATGCCCGGCCTCGTCTGCAGCCTCGTGTGCCACGAGAGAATGAACGCATGAGACTTGGCTCTGGATTTGGAGACTCGGATTGGAACACTAAAATTTTGTGCATAAAGCCGGGCTGCCTAAGCCAAAATTAGTCTTGAACTGACAGTTTGGTTGAAGATTGCTTACATAATTCTGGGGGCTGGAGTGGCGCCCACTAGATCCACGGGTCCGTGGCAGTTACGTAAGCACAACGATTATG